GATTATGTAGTTAGCTAATAATCGTAGACGTATTGGTAAGTCTACTTTATAGTTTTTTGAAACATGACTGCTAACTATGTAAATTTTCATTTTTTTTCACAGGAAATAGCTCATTTACCTGTTGTTGTGTATGAACTAATGTTTAATTTGTAAGCTTCTTTGGTATTGTTATGAAGTGTTAAACAAGTCTGATTTCTGTAATGTAGACTTTTTAAATGTGTACAACAAAAGTAGACTTTTTTATTAGTCTACACATAGGAAAGTAGAAAAACACTAAAGTCTACTCTCTTTTATTGTTATTGGAGTTGTATTAATTTGTATTATTAGTCTCTTTTGTGTTCAAAATCTCTAAAATTGCTATAAAACATTCTTTAGATTACATAATTTTAACACATTAAATATTGTGAGTGTTAGTTGTTGGTTTAGCTTATGGTGGTTTTTAACCGTTTAGCTGACTATAGTATTTTCCGAAAAACCGATTGCTAACAAAAATTAATAATATCATACAAGTGCAACAAAATTAAAAAATTAATACACTGTTTATGGTTATGTATCAGAATATTTATTTACAAATGAATATTTTGTAAAGATAAATTATTACAAAGCAATTTTTTTAAACTCTAGAGTGTTTGATTATTCATAATCTTGATATCTCAACTGAAATCTTGTAAAAAAGTACCTGCAAAATAAGATAAAATTATGAGTAAACATAAAGTAAACATATTCAAATTATTTTTAGTAGACTTCATAAAAGTATACTTAAAGTTTATGGGTTCAATAGACTTTATTTAAATTCTACTAGCCTCAATTTTTAAATAAACTTCATGTCAAAAATAATTTCAGATCTAAAAATGTACAATTACAAAATTAGAAAATAGTATTTTCTGCAAAATAATTCAAAATAGTGTTTTAACCTAAAATTAGAAAAGCAAAAACATAGAGCTTGTATCTATAAATTTAGTCTTATATAAATTGTTTTTTAAATGAATATATGTAAATCTTTTATTTTTTGGAAGGTGATTTGAAAACTTTGGAAGAGAATACCTGCAAAATAAAATATAATTATGAAAAATTATAAGATATAAAAAATTCAAATCATATTTGAGTAGACTTCTAATTAAGTCTGTTTTAAAGTTAAAGTTAATAAACTTCATTTGTAGTCTACTCAATCTGAAAAATTTTAGATCTGAAAAATATATACATTACAAACATGAAAATAACTTTAAATCTAAAAAATTTAGAAAATAGAATTTGTAAAATAAATTAGTAGTAAATTATAGACAGAGAGATTGAATATGTAACTTTATTCAAATATAAAAAGAAAAACACACATTATAGATGTAAATCTTACAATTTTTTGGGGAAGAGAAAACGCATGGAAAAAAATACCTGCAAATAAAGATGAAACTATGAAAAATATAAGACAAACAATTAAAGTCATAACACTGTAGACTTCATTAGAAGTCTATTATATATTAGATAATTTTCAGATCTGAAAAATTTATAGATTTGAAAATGTGAATCTTTCATTTTTGGAAAAACTAGATAAAACCCATAGAATTAAAAAAATAAAGATAAAATTATGAGAAAAAATATTATACATAAAAAAAGTCACTTCTAGTTTTGTAGACTTCATTACAAGTCTACTATATCAGATAATTTTCAGATTTGGAAATTATGTACATGTGAAAATGTGAAACATAGTTTTTAATCTGAAAATAAAACTTTTAAAATAGAATTGATAAGATAAATATTAGCAAAATAAATGCAAAGAGTTTATATTTGTAACTTTATTTGAATATAAACATAAAAATACACATTTAAAATTTATAGATCTAAGACTTACATTTTTAGAGTGGAAGGTGATAAACATGAATTAACCTACAAACACAAGATAATATTGTGAAAAAGACATGATTGAAAAAATTAACAAACTAAACAAAAATTCATCTTCACCTTCAAAGAATTGAACAATAAGAGAGTTTTAGAGAGAAGTGGGAGCTTTTTTAGAAACTTGTGCAGCCATTTTAGAGCGAGATTGTCTAAATTTCATTTATATAGGGATACAAAAATTGTAACTAGGTTAAAAATTTTGATAGTATAGACTTCTTTTGAAGCCTGTTATAATTAAAATTTTGGAGTAGACTTTACTGTAAGTCTACAATTTCATTACTATTACCTAATCAATATATATTCGTTAAAATTTTTTAATTAAATGAAATTTTAATTTATATACCTCATATTGATTCTTATATTGATGACCTAAAAGAAATTTCACACAATTTATTTTTATATATTTTTAAAATAAAATTATAGATGCAAAGAGTTTGTATTTCTAACTTTATTTGAATATAAACATAAAAATACACATTTAAAATTTGTAGATCTAAGACTTACATTTTTAGAGTGGAAGGTGATAACCATGAATTAACGTACAAACACAAGATAATATTGTGAAAAAGACATGATTGAAAAATTAACAAACTAAACAAGAATTCATCTTCATCTTCAAAGTATTGAACAATAAGAGAGTTTTAGACATGATTGAAAAATTAACAAACTAAACAAAAATTCATCTTCACCTTCAAAGAATTGAAAAATTAACAAACTAAACAAAAATTCATCTTCACCTTCAAAGAATTGAACAATAAGAGAGTTTTAGAGAGATGGAGAAAGTTTTAGAGAGAAGTGAGATTTTTTTTAGAAACTTGTGCAGCCATTTTAAAGAGAGATTGTCTAAATTTCATTTATATAGGGAGACAAAAATTGTAACTAGGTTAAAAATTTCGATAGTATAGACTTCTTTTGAAGTCTATTATAATTAAAATTTTGGAGTAGACTTTATTGTAAGTCTACAATTTCATTACTGTTGCCTAATCAATATATATTCGTTAAAATTGTTTAATTAAATGAAATTTTAATTTATATACCTCATATTGATTCTTATATTGATGACCTAAAAGAAATTTCACACAATTTATTTTTATATATTTTTACAATAAAATTATAAATGCAAAGAGTTTGTATTTGTAACTTTATTTGAATATAAACATAAAAATACACATTTAAAATTTATAGATCTAAGACTTACATTTTGAATATAAACATAAAAATACACATTTAAAATTTATAGATCTAAGACTTACATTTTTAGAGTGGAAGGTGATAACCATGAATTAACGTACAAACACAAGATAATATTGTGAAAAGACATGATTGAAAAATTAACAAACTAAACAAAAATTCATCTTCACCTTCAAAGAATTGAACAATAAGAGAGTTTTAGAGAGAAGTGAGAGTTTTTTTTTAGAAACTTGTGCAGCAATTTTAGCGAGAGATTGTCTAAATTTCATTTATATAGGAAGACAAAAATTGTAATTAGGTTAAAAAAATTGATAGTATAGACTTCTTTTGAAGTCTGTTATAATTAAAATTTTGGAGTAGACTTTATTGTAAGTCTACAATTTCATTATTGTTACCTAATCAATAAATATTCGTTAAAATTGTTTAATTAAATGAAATTTTAATTTATATACCTCATATTGATTCTTATACTGATGACCTAAAAGAAATTTCAAACAATTTATTTTT